GATCCATGACAGGGATGTGGGATAACCCCCTTTGGAGGGATCAGGGAAGGAGAGGATCACTGAGGTTGGGAAAGAGCTGCAAGATCACCCCCAGTCCCAGCTCTGATCACCCAATTCCACCTCTGATCAATCCCACCTCTGATCCCCAAATCCCACCTCTGATCCCCAAATCCCAGCTCTGATTCCCCAATCCCACCTCTGATCCCCAAATCCCACCTCTGATTCCCCAATCCCACCTCTGATCCCCAAATCCCACCTCTGATCCCCAAATCCCAGCTCTGATTCCCCAATCCCACCTCTGATCTCCCACATTGTCACATTTAGGACTTTAATCGTGTCATGAGCTCCAAAAACAACAGGATAATGCTGGAAGTTGTGGGAATGCCCCACGAGCAGAACCGTCTAGACGGCACTGCCGCTTCCAGGAGACCTGGAAGAGCCTGCACGGACCAACCAGCTCTTCTGGACCTGGGAAAGGCCCCTTCCCATCCCAGCAGGGGGATCCCAGCAGCTGGATATCGGGTTAGACCTGGTTGGGAAGTCGAGCCCTGCAGGGAGAGTCTGGTTCCCTGGGCTGGTTCCTGGGCTGGTTCCCTGGGCTGGTTCCTGGGTTTGATTCTCTGGGATGGTTCCCTGGGATGGTTCCTGGGTCTGGTTCCTGGGTCTGGTTCCCTGGGCTGATTCCCTGGGATGGTTCCCTGGGATGGTTCCTGGGTCTGATACCCAGGTCTGGTTCCCTGGGCTGATTCCCAGGTCTGGTTCCCTGGGCTGATTCCTGGGCTGGTTCCCAGGTCTGGTTCCTAGGTCTGATTCCTAGGCTGGCTCCACTAATCCCAACCCCCCAGAGGGCTCCTGGTACCTTTTCCATCCCGGCCAGGAGCCTCTGGAGCTCGTCCACCTGCCCCTCCTTCTGCTCCACGTCCCTCTCCGCTCTCCGGAGGGCAGAGCTCGCCCGCTCCGCTTCCTCCTGGTACTGGGCCACCTTCCTCTGGAAAAAAGGGGATGGGAAAGGCTTTACTTGGAATACCAGAGCCCTTGGGGGACGTTCCCAAGCCTCGGGGGGGCTCCCAGGGGTTTTGTTGAAGGCACCAACACCCCGACGGTGCCTTGGGGATGAGGAGCCCTTCGGAAGGTTCTCGGGCTTCAAAGCACTTCAGAGGGCAGGGAGCAGCTCCAGGAGCTCCAGGGGGTTCTCAGGCTCCTCTGGGACCACCTGCCCACGGGGCCACCAGCCCCAGGTTGGGATATGGATGCTTCTTCCAGCCCTGGGATTCGGGAGAGCTCCGGGGGCTCAGAGGGGACAGGGATGGGTCACTTGTCCAAGGAAATGACCTCAGCCACTGCCCATGCCAACAGGAACAGCTCAGAGGGGACAGGGATGGGTCACCAGCCCCAGGGTGACCTTGGCCACCATCAGGAGCTCAGAGGGGACAGGGATGGGTCACTTGTCCAAGGAAATGACCTTAGCCACTGCCCAGGCCAACAGGAACAGCTCAGAGGGGACAGGGATGGGGTCACCAGCCCCAGGGGTGACCTCACACCCCCACCAACATCTCAGCAGCTCAGAGGGGACCAAGGTGCCCCCGTGGGTCCCCCCAGCAGCTGCAGAGCAGGTCCAACACGTGGCAGGATCAAGGACCCCTGGAACACCCCCCCCAGGGTGGAGATGTCACCCCCAGGGTGACCAAAGCCCCCGAAATGCCACCAAACCCACCCCACTTCCTACGGGGAAGGACGGACATCCCCCTGTCACCCCTCAAACCCACTTCCTGGGGATGCCCAGGACCAGTTTGGCCTGTGGGACGGGACTGGGAGCGGGGGTGTCACCGCTGTCACCCACCCTGGGGTGACACAGCCCGGCCCTGTGGGGTGACACAGCCCGGCCCTGCCCATCCGGGCCGTGAGCAGGCACCAAAAAACACCCCGAAGGGGACAATTAACCCCCTTAATTGGGGAGCAGGAAGGGAGGGGAGCAGCAGCAGCAGGAGGAGGAGGAGGAGGTGGACACCTCCAGCAGCCCCGACGTGTCCCTCAGGGCTCCCGGGAAGCTTCGGGAAAGCACCAAAATCAGATTAAACCCCCCGTTTTTCGGTCACCTCGAAGGCTTTCCTCTCCAACTGATGGCGCTTCTCGGCCTCCTGCAGCCTCCTGAGGAGCCTCCTGGCCGTCTCCTGCAGCGTCCCCACGTCCTGGCTGGAGCAGTTCTCCTCCTCCTGGGCAGGGATGAGGCGGGAGGCACAGAAGGGTCCCCCACCCCGGCGTGGGTGACACCCCGGTGACACCCCGGTGACAGCCCTGCCCCGCTCCCTCCTCGCCTCCCACGCTCCAGCTCCGGCTCCCAGCCCTCCTCGGCATCCCCGGGGCCTTCCCAGCCCTTGTTTGTGGAGGAGGAGGAGGAGGAGGACACTTGGGCAACCTGAAACCCGAGAGCGGGCCCAGCCCCAAAAAAATCCCAGCCCCAAAAATCCCACCCCCCAAAAAAATCCCGGCCCCAAAAAATCCCGGCCCCAAAAAAATCCCAGCCCCAAAAATCCCACCCCCCAAAAAAATCCCGGCCCAAAAAAATCTCAGCCCAAAAAAATCCCAGCCCCAAAAATCCCAGCCCCCAAAAAATCCCACCCTAAAATTCCAGCCCCAAAAATCCCGGCCCCAAAAATCCCAGCCTCAAAAATCCCAGCCCCAAAAATCCCAGGCCAAAAAAATCCCAACCCCAAAAAAATCCCAACCCCAAAAAAATCTCAGCCCCAAAAAAATCCCAGCCCCAAAAAAATCCCAGCCCCCAAAAAATCCCAGCCCAAAGACTCTGGCTTGGACTGGCTGATCCCCAAAGGTCTTTTTCCAAGCCCAAGGACTCCGTGGCTCTGTGATCTCCCCCTGGAAGAGCCTGAGGGACGTCCAGGGAGGTTCCTGTTACCCCCTGGGGCTCAAAACCTCCGGGATGCTTTTTAAGGAGGGGTCAAACCCCCAAAAAAGTGCATTTTTATCCATGGAATTGAGCCTCTCTCCATTTCCAACCCGACCCTGTTTGCTGGGGGATCAGGCTCAGCCTCAAAACCAGGAGGAAAACCTCAAATTAAACTGACTTCTTTTCCTAAAATCACGGAATCTTTGGCGGGAAGGGGCTTTTCCCAGGTCACTGATCCCGTCTCCCACCCGACCTTGAACGTTCCTGAGGCTGAAATTCCCCAAATCCCCCCTTTTCCCCCCCTTACCTGCTCCTCCCAGGAGTCCCCCCGGAGCCTCTCGGGGCCCTTCCAGCTCCCGTTGTGCTGCTCCAGCACCACCTGCACAATTCCAAGGACACGGAGACGTCGGGATCCCGCATTCTGGCCGGGATAAAGGACTTTCCCAGAGCTCCTGGAGCTCCTGGATCAACAACCAGCTGGATAGAGGCATTCCCAGGGCTTTTCCCCCACCTGGATGCCAACAAAAACCGGTGCCACCACCTCGACTTTTAACTGGTTGGGCTCTTCCTCTCCCGTTTTCCACGGGCAAAAAAAATCGACTCTTCCAGCTGTTCCAAGCCGGGAAAATCCCAAAATCCCGCTCGACTCGCCCTAAACCGGCCCTTTTCAACCCAATTCCTGCTCCTCCAGCCCTTTTCAACCCAATTCCTGCTTCTCCAGCCCTTTTCAACCCAATTCCTGCT